CATGGTCCACTAGCATGCAATGCGGTCGTGTTTTAGATTTTTCATATATGGAAAATGAGGTGACTTCGAATATCCATTTGCAATCCGTTTCCATCCATCGGTTTAACGGTCGAATCTTAAAGCATCTCCATTCATATAGGATAAAGGAATAATAAACAGTAAGTTTTTGCTTATATTACGATGTATTTCTATTTTCAAACATAAACAAAAGCTCGAAAGGGATGCTGGTGGACCATGTCCCTTTAATCCGTGAAATAACTTAGTAGATAGTAGTCTAGTACATACAGTACATACAGTGAGGTCAAAAAGTCCAATGAAATATATATTTGACTAATTAATACACCTTAGTACGGTCTAATTGTATTGTTTTCTTCTGTGTCTATTTGACATTTATATATCATTTTAACAGACAAGTTTCATTTCACGGGTTTAATGACCTAACTCTAAACCCGTGAAACAAAGTATGACCCCTGCTCTTAAAGTGTGATAGTCAAATAGACACAAAAGAAAAGCGTGTTAAGGTGTATTAGTGTAATATCTATTTCACGGGTTTTTTGACTTCACTCTAACCTTTTCTGGTGTTTCAAGCGTTAATTGTAACGAGAGTACTGAGTGATTTCATTTGTCTTTGGTAAACAAATAGTCGTTACATCACTTGACCCTCCGGTCTCCAATGTAGTTAAGGCCTATTAGACCTCTGAAGCTTTTACCGTATACGCAATGCATTGTAGGATAGAGTGGTTTTCATAAACCCGTGAAACAAAGTATAATAATTAGAGTGTAATAGATCGTAATAGTCGCGTAGAGACAATAAAAAACAAAAGAGCCAAAGTGTGATAGCGATAAATACGCTAAAGTGTGTTTCATGGGTTATGAAAACCACTCTATGTTTGGGATAAAACATGGCGGATTTCTTTTGTTTTCTCCAGAAACAGATACCACAATGCATTGCAAATTAAGAGGTCTATTGAGTTTTAAGCAGAAAGGAATTTTTTTGGCTATAAGGCCCGTAATAATAGTGTAAATTGATTTATTTTTTTGTATTTTAACCTATTAATGAAAAAAATAGCAAAAACAAACAAACCCTACTCCAGATATACAAGAGACCTCTGAAGCTCTTACGTCACATTACGTATACGCAATGCATTGTAGGATATGTCGGGGGCATAACATGGTGGATTTCTTTTGTTTGCTCCAGAATCTGATACCACAATGCATTGCAAATCAAGTAGGTGACGAAAAGCTTTAGTATTCTTCATTTATGCGCATGCGTTTTTTGTTGTAAGATTTTGAACCCCAAAATTTCAGTCTATTTTTAATCGGAATTGACTGCATCAAACCAATGTAAAGAGAACACATTAATTATCATTAAAAACTGTATCCGATTCGGTTTTCATGTTGATTATGAAAATGAACTGCATCGAGGGGAAGGTTGACCATTGCTAAAAAGAATGAGAAGTGTTCGTTTGTCATTTCTGTCAATTTTATCTTTACAAATTATAAATTAATCAATAAGTGTCCATCCTATCTAGTACAGTAGACTCATTTTGTATGTCCGCAGTTAATCGTTCTTGCTAGAATGTGGATTACGACATGAGCATGACCTTGACCTCGCCCCATGATATGAAACCCAGATTGTTCCTGGATTATCTCTGCATCCCATATGAATTTCTCAAGGATTTTGGATTCCACAATATAATGGACAGGAAAAGATCCTAACTAGTGTCGTCGGTGACTTTTTTGAAGTCACTATTTGGATTCCGGATTTATCTTGTTTTTATTGGGGGCCGTTTCCATTCTCGCGGATGCTGTTCAAATGTCTCGATTCCTCAAAGTCCTCAAATTATTTGGTCGTTTTTTTCGGATTATGCTGGATTATGGGGTGGAGGATGGGCCAAATGACTGGTTAGTGAACTTGTATCCATGATTTCATGATTATAATAATTCGCCGTGTGAATTTGAAGCTGAAGCGGTTGAAAAGTGCTAAATACACGTTAGTGCAGAGCAAAACTTTACAATAGTTGAACTACAAGGAAAGGTGCACGATTCTCTGTGACGCTGAGCTTCGTGCTCAATCACTCGTCTTTATTTCCGGTTAAGATCACCCATCACGTGACACGTGACCTCACCGACAAAACTTTTCTCAAGGTTGAAACGTTTCTTCGGTTTGAATGGATTCTTAATTCTTTCGGGGTTTCGATACGTATTTTCCATACCTTACCGAAGCAGATTGCTTGCCTTAGCCTTTGGTCTTCTAAAAGTACTTTTTCGTTGTACATTTTGTAGGATTAAGTTACGTAATTATCACATTACATCCATGAGATTCGCCAGCCACATTGCGTGTTGAAGGCGGCAATATCGTTACACAATCCAGTTTTATACCAGAAAAACGACCAGGAATTGCTCCATAAAGACTCAAAGAGCGGAGYAAGCRGTCAAAGAAGAATGACGAGCAACGTGAACATGACTGAAGCCGAAGCACTTTTACACAATGGTCGAAAGCCGGTCGTTTATAGCGGGCTACTCTCTGCTCCAGTTCAAGATGCATCAAGATCTCTCGCTGCGTCTGAGTATTTAGTAAGAAGATCCAAGGAGGGCTTCAACCAACCAGGAATACCGATATTCAGGGCAATTTTTATTGTCATGAATGGTGCTATGGGTGCTGGAATATTAAACTTYCCACAAGCTTTCGCCAAAGCTGGCGGAGTAACRCACGGAATGATCATACAAATGTTCATGCTCGTTTTCATCATTGGTGCCTTCGTAATCCTAGCTTATTGYGCWGACAAATGTGGAGCACAAAACTTCCARCAAATCATCCGAGGCAGTCTTGGCCCWAAGCATTACGTTATTGCAGAAATCTTGGTATTGACCTACATGATTGGGACTGCTGTGGCTTACATGGTACTCATTGCTGACCAACTTGAGAAAGTTGGAGAGGCAGTAGCTTCCGGGGACCATTGGTACGTCAAGAGGAACTTTTTACAAAGCGTTGTAGCTGTATKCTTTCTTTTRCCATTATGCCTGCCAAAAAAYATGGGAATTCTAAGCTATACAAGTACAGTTGGTGGCGTTGGTGTTGTGTATATCTGCTTCGTGGCAGCKTATAAGTATTTTGTCGGGACATACAATGCCAGAAGAATTGTACCTCAYGTGGAGAARGATATTAAAGATTATTTGACTGTTATTCCAACTATTTGCTTTGGTTATCAAGTTCACGTTCAAGCTGTTTCAGTTTATGCAGAGCTAAAGCGACCCACCCTCCCCCGCTTTGCAATTGTTTGTACTCTGGCAATGTTGTTCTGTTGCACAGCTTACTCATTTACCGCGTGTTTTGGTTACCTCACGTTTGGACAAAAGTTGGATGGCGATTTCTTAAAGAACTACGATAAAAGTGACATTCCAGCTAACGTTGCTAGGATTGTATTGGCCCTTGTGGTCCTTTCATCCTATGCAACATGTGCCTTCTGCGGCCGGTCATCTATTGAAGGTTTATGGATGATGGCCTGGAGGATGTCGATAGGCGAGGGACAACGTCGTGCCAGACTTAGAAGAATAATCATCACCACTAGCTGGGTTACAGTTTCTCTTCTGTGTTCTATTTTTATACCTGATGTTGATAATGTCATCGCTGTAGTTGGAGGAATCGCAGCATTGTTCATCTTATTTTATCCAGGAATTTGTCTTGTAATGGAGTTGATCAAAGATGCCTATCCATCAACYATTCATTGGGTTTTAATTGCTCTCGGTATGGTGTATGTTGGTATGGGAGTATTCCTGTTTGGTGAATCTGAAGTGCTAGCTATACAGCAGGATTTGACACGGCAGAATCTTTACTAGAGAACTTTCCGCACGAATTCATACATRAAACAATTRTGTCATATCAAATGGAGGTCTTTCAAGGGCCGAAGTGTCTGCAGAAATAGAAATTCATTTAGTATTTTGTGTCATTAATATGACAACACAAGGACAGTCACATCTGGATTCAAGGGAAGAAGTGTTCCTCATACCAGAATGAGCTACAGTTATTTCACAATGTGCCATTAATGTGATAGGACAAGAACATTTACTTCTGCATTCAAGAGAAAAAGTTTCTCTCATACCAGAAAGAGCTACAACAGTAGTGTGTGTTACGGATGTGGCACTCCAAGGACATTTGAATCACATTGAACCCAGCTTAAACATGGCTGCCACAATAAGTCTGAGAGACACTAATCAATATAAAAAACAATTTTCCAACAATTATTATATAAATTTCTACAAATTATTTTTCAAAGTAAGCGAACAAAATGGACAACATTGATCAAATACTTTATTAACAATTTCTATAATCATTTTCAGTTGAAATATATCAATGAAGGCTAAAGAACTAATTCTTACATGTAGTATTCCTTAATCCATGGGTATATTTATATGCAACTCTCTTTGATATAATGATTTAGGTAAGACTAAATTTACTCATTCAAAAACTGCATTTGAAAATGTAAAAGTACATCTTATTCAATGGCAAAACAGTATTTAATTTTTTTCTAATTTTGGACAACTTGGGGAGAACTTTGGCAAAAAAAAAGAATTATCAAAAATATTGAATCTATTTGATTTTGTGAAAAAAAATGGGCTACAAAGGGATACAAATAATTTTCAGTAATTAACATTTATTTATAAATTGAATTATGGTCGAGTGCTGGCACTTAAAAAGGTTATCGTGAACCATTTGAAACCTGCTGTTTGATGACTTTGTTAGTACAGAATCTCCATTGTTAGGTTAGGTTTTCTTTTATAGTTTTGAAGAGCAACTATTGTTTGTCCGTTGTTTTCTAAACCAATCATGAAATTTGCTTTGAGCGGTTCATGACAATCCACTTAATTAACAAGCATGTAATGTATAAAGAAGTGTTTGACTATTTTTTCATTAGTAATTATGTGTTACATGTAGTAGTAAGTGATACTTGTAATGCCAGCTGAATGAATTCATTGGCCATTCCGAAATTGAATAGAGTGATCGCACTTAATCCGTGCAACTGTACAAACTAAATAGTTCTATTTAGTTGTATTTAGTAAATCGTGCATGCGATACGCAAATTAAATTGAATTGATACAAATGAAGCATTCAATATCGTCTTGCTTCAGGTCCACTTTTGGTACAAATTAAGACTACTTAGATTTTGTACAGTTGCAGGCTTTAAGTGCGATCACTCTACGGGACTAGTGTCTAGTCACAAACTTGATGCAGTTTTAAAACCATACATTCTCTCTTTTTTTTTCCACATTTAAAAAATTTCTTACTCAGCAAATAAATAATAAACCAGGCTCAAACTTAAACATAGCCATAGCACTTATTGTAGTATGATTTTTCATGTGGTTGCTAGAGACAAACATTAAAACTGTGCAACATAAATACCAGTAAATACTGCTAAATTATGCTAATTCTATTGTTTTGTATTGTTTAATTAGCACTATTTTATAGTAAATTGTGCAAAGTGTTGCACGCTTTTAGTGTTTGTACTCTAAGTGGACTATTTTCAATTTAGCTATTCCCATTCTCCTCTTCAATTTCCAATAGGCCAATTCTAACAGAAACTCCTTTAGAGATTGAAACTTTTAGCACAATTCGATGCAATGAAATATTCAGATTGATCAGCATAATTTTGTTACCATATTTGGTGACTGCATTGGAATTAAAAATATTAAAATTTTCTCTATTTTTAGGGGATATTTCTGCATTGTATGCATATTRTAAGTGGCTTTTGTTAATTTGTTTGTAGTATTTTGAATGCTTCAASATTTKTGCAAGAAAAGGTTTTCAGAATASAAATCGAATATTTCCACGCATGGAACACGATAAATGTACAATGGTTACAAGTTTCAATTCATTGTGAGTTTCTGATTATAATAACGATTTTTACGTTTATCACTCTTCATTGTGCGCTTGTATAGTAGATTGTGTTGTGATTTAAAAATAAAGTTTTGTATTGATTAAAATATGAAATAAAAGCAAAAAAACATAAGCTTTGCTCGAGTTGAGCTTTCTTTTGATTGGTTGATAGATTTAGTTGAATGCTTTGGTTGAATCATTTGTAACGGAGTGTGAAGTGTGTATTGGTTCGATGGGTACCAAGGGGTTTTGAAGAGTATAGGTGGGTGCCAATGTTTACGTTTTACAGGTTTTAGGTAATTTGCATAAAAGTCAGTTTCAAGACACAAGAAATGAATGCAATTTGCAAGATTTTCTAAAGAAATGACCGTTGTTAGCATTATTTTGCCAACCGCTGAATATCTCGAAATGTAAAAAGGCGTTTGCCCTAAAATTTTCAGGTTTTGTTGATATTTATATAATCTTGAATTATATGAGTTCAGGTTGCTTATTTTTTGAATTTTTTTATTTTGGATGTAAACAAAATTCGTCATTGTACGCCAACTTATTTAAGGGCATAGTAACTGGTATGACCGCTGTTGAGGAAAGCTAGTAAATGAGGCGAGTGAAGCCCAAAAAGAGCCGGTGGTCCATGAAAGCGTTGAACTAGAGAATCCCTCGAGCTTGAGTCGAAAGGAACCGAATACGAATAAACTAACAGATTGTTACACTTTCACTGACTGCCATTTAAGAACATTCACTTAGGGAAGTTATGCAGATATCAGCAGTTCTTCATTGGGTAACCACCGGGAGTGAGGGGTATTTCTGAAGACTGGAAGGAATTCCCTGCCCAGTGGGGTGGGGGATTTGTTTGCTTTTGAACCATGAATTTTGCACCTTGGGGAGTTTTCCGATGCAGTGCGATGTGGCAAGGATCTTATGATATTTTTACTTCTACGAAAGATTAGAGTCTTTATCATCCGTGTGAAACAATTACTACTAGTCAGTGTTTAATRGTAACTATTAGGGTGTAGTAAGCTATCAAAAGACAAAATCAAAACCGTGTTTTCCTAATTAGTTTGTCGAATGTCATAGGTTAAACTATTGGGTGTTAATAGGGGGTAATAGTATAGTACAACTCAAAAGTCACAAACGGATGAAAATGACTCCAAGGTCCGAAACGTCAGTAAGATTTATCTTTTTACACAACTGTTTCTTTAGAAACACCGACGCAGCTCACACTAGTTTACCGCTAGTTTCCAGGCCATCTTAGCATTTTAGCTGTCGCTTCGCTTTCACCGAAAGAGCCAGCTTATTTTCCCCTGCATGGGGAAATTAGTTGTTTACTCGTCGGCAATCTGAGAGGAGACCTGTACTGTAGTATGGGCGTGGCAGTTACAAAATTCCAACCCCAAAAGGAACCAATCATTAGCCTGTCATTTTGCCTCGGTTTCTCAATGTGCTTACCAGCGTCAAACGCGTCCACTTGAATTTATGACGACTTCTCAACCCTTAGGAGCGCAAACGTAAGTTGCTAGGATAAATTCTCGTACTATTGCTAGACTAAGCAGGACCAATAGGCCGGTCTTTTGCACGAAACGGTCACATGGTACTAAATCCTCCAAACTGAATGGCAAAACAATGCAAACAATCTCAAAAACAAAAGGAATGCAACCTGTCAAGCCTGACTTTTCTATGTTTTGAACATCCCAGTGGGAATTTTGCCCTCCAGAATGTCGGATATAGTACCATGTGACCCGTTTCATGTACAAGGCCTATCCTGAAAGAGACTCCCCTCAGGGGATCAAATAACTGACAATTGTGGAAGATGGAATTAATTAGAAAATTGGTAGGGGAGCTTAGCTTGACCAACCATGAGAAAATGTTGACTTTTTCTAATGCTGCTATATTCGTCCCTTATGCCATTTTGTTAATTTGGATTTTGACCATTATGTCATTTAGACCTTTGGACTTCTTCAGTTTAGATATATTACAAGGAAGTGAACAAAAAAACATCAGATTCTGCTTCTAAACGACTCACCAAGCAAGATGGCAGCAACACCAMTACGAGATATTCCTGTAAGTTTCATTTCTATAACAAAAAATAACTATTTTAGTTCTAAGTTATGAAACGGAAACAGTTTAGAGTCGTTTAACTTCRAATTTTGTAAACTTTTTTGTACATTTTTGAAAAATTTGAATTGCAGCTACTCAATAACGCTGAGGTATTTTTCAGTCACTAGAAAGGAAAGATGTCGATGAAATTTTGTTATTTATTTATATTTTTGAAGTTCTTTTTAAACTGACTCACATGGTAATTTGAAAACAAAGGAGAACGATTTTGGAATGATTTCTCAGAAATCAGAAAAAATATACCTACCAATTTAGTTAGCTAGCTTTCATATTAACTTGCTTTAAGAAGATATTCTTAGCTCGCAAAAATTGAGTACAATTTCTGAAAATTTCATTTGTATAATATGTATAGGAAATTAATGTGACATATGATAATGCCCCAAAAAACTAATCATTCTGATTGGCTGTTAGACCATGGTCACACCGAGAAAACCGCAAGTCGGGAAAAGTTTTTTTTGTGTGTGTTGCCTTTTGTCAAATCTATCCAATAGTTTGGTGGATAGTTAGACCACGAGGTCCAGTAGCGGGGACAATACGTTGATATAGTGGACTATCAACTCTAGTCCACTCGACCTCGCGTGATGTAATTGTTAATTTGTCCTCTTATAATATGGCTGCAGTTGAAATTAGTTACGTAACGTATATCGGGCAGAACTAGAACATATCAACATGTTTTCCATTTCACTGCGGTTGAAAAATCCCAGCTAATTTCAAAACGTTTGGTACAGAACACATTTTCGGAAACCAGAAGTAATTTCCTCGTGTCGCTTGTCTTCACTCCCAAAAATAATGGAAACAAAAAACGGTTTAAATTTCTCGATAATTACAAATGAAATCGATAAAATATTATGAATGGATTTCGATGAGTTCAAAATCCCTCAGAAAACTCACTTTTACGTTTATTTTTTAACACCAAGCTCTTTAAATACCATTTAATCTGATCGAGACTTACATGAGTTACGTGTATTTTCATAGAGGGCAAAACTGACAATATGGGCTATTGCATGTAAATGGCCACAGCGTGTGACTTCAAATTCCGAAACAAGGTCTATTAAACAAACTGCGAACACGTTAAACCCCACGTGTTTGCCCTTCCATTGAAACTCAAGACTTMGGGCCTCAGGCATTTKGGAGGCAATTTGAACGTTTGCATGAGCTTTGCGTTATGTAATATTTCAAACGCGGTACTATACATGAATGTACTCGATCGTAAACGCGAAAAAGAATTCAAAAAATTCAAAACCCCTCGATGCCGGGTCTTCCCAGAAATTCAAAACCGGCATTAATGACAATGGAAAAGGACGTGGCTAGTTTGTACCAGGGGTAATATTTCTGTAATCAAGAAGCGAAGGACAAAAGATTGCTCCTCCGAATGCTACTGTATAGTGATTTTTATAAGCAATTTCCTTGAATTCCTTTGGACGTACTTTTTTGCTGTTTATAGGTTACACCTTTTCATGGAAAGGACGATTTCAGTATAGATGATTCTAAGTTAGATTTTATTCAAAAAAAGATACAAATATCTTGATCCATAATTTTTAATGCCAATTTTCTTTTCCAATACTGTTTAAAAAATGAATCAGATATATTTTTGGAATTTAATTTAATTTTTTTTAACTTACAATTGTAAAATTATCATGAAATAATTTGATTTGGTTATTCATAGTTATTTGACCAGCGCCGTAGCTACGATCAGGCAAGCGAGGGAACTTGCCTCGGTAAAATTTTATCGAGTTTTCTTTAATTCAAAATAAAGAAGTTCGATCAATGGTGTAAGAAAACAATGTCACAAAATGCTGGAAATCACGTTTCCCGAGTGTCTGAATTTCAAAATGTTTCGGGGGAGTATGCCCGCGAACCCCCTAGATGCGGCCGCTTCCACCGGTCGCATAAAGTGCCTCGGTTAACATTCCTCTCCGGCTACGGCGCTGGGAATTTGGTTTTTAATAAGTTTACACCTGTCTACAAAAAGCTTGTCCTGAAATTTAGTGATTTAGGATTCTTACAGTTCTTAGGAAAACATTGAAACATACCAAAAAAATAAACACTGATAGTTAGAAGCTGACTAGAACACTTTTTTTGCTTAATTCTAATTATTAAATTCCTACTATAATACTGTAAAAATAAGACAATAAAAATTTATGCTTGAAACTGGAGTATTAAACTTTTTGATATTGGGTTTATCTAAATATAAATTCAATTGTTTTATTGAAGGTAATAAAATTCAATTTTATTTTTTAATAAACTGACAGACGGTTGTACAAAGAGCAAGAGAAATGTTTAGAAAAGGAAGGMCAAAACCATATGAATTCCGCAAAAACCAACTAAAAAATCTTGTTGCGTTATTTGAAAATCATGAAGATGCTATCCTTGAAGCTCTGCACAAAGATCTGCACAAGGTAAAATGAAATAACATTTCTTCATCCGAAGAGTCAATAGCAATGTGCAGCGACGCCATTTTGTGCAGCAAAGCATGATGGGAGTCGTAGTCTGCGCGCTTTGTCATGTCCGCTAAAAACAGTCCATCTAATTAAGCCATTTATGATTTTTCTCTGAAGAAGTAGAAGTAGTTGTGACGTGTCTACAAAGTTAAGTGTGACTTTTTAGGTCCTATGAAAAGAGGGCCGAGGGCCTTAAACTCCAATAATGCTTTATTTTACAAAATGGCGTTGCTGCACATTGCCTAATATCATTACATAAATAATATGTAAATGACTTTACGCACTCTCTCACCACATGGTCTGTATCGCAATAACAGGGTCATATATGATAAACGTTTATATGTTTTATATGATCGAGTTTATTGATGATAAACTGCTTTTCTCGTGAAGTTCAAGAAGTCCATGAAAGCAAATAGAATATCCAAGGAAAAAGATCATCAACGTATGATCAGGTCCTTAACTACACCACTAACAACTGCTTATTATAATCATGTGKATTGGAGCCTGGTCGATGTCGACCCCATTTTTCTTCTGTCTAGTTTCTCTCGTGTACATCACGTGCGCTGCATTACTCAGAATTGTTTGAATTTTTGCAAATGTTACTTAACGTTAAATGCAACTGTACAAACAAAAACGCCGAAATACAATTAGATACTAATGATGTTAAATTTTGAACTCCTCAGCCACGCTTCGAGGGTCTTCTTGGAGAGATATTCATGGTCAAAAATGATGCCGTTACAGGTCAGTACATAAATCCACAATATTCTTATGATAATTACATATCAGTGACCGTGGAGCAGGGTGAACCGGGGCAGCTGTAGCCCCTCCCCTCGATTATTTTTTTTGCAATACCCAACCTCCCTTGCGCACTCCCCTTTCCTTCAAAGGCCCTAATTCCATTACCTTTTTACCTAACAAAATAGATTTTCCATATGCACATGTTTTGTATGTTTTACAGCTCTAAAAAATCTAAAGGATTGGATGAAACCAGAATACACAGAAAAAGGTCTTCTCAATAAAATGGATACTTGTATGATTAGAAGTGAACCCCTGGGCGTGGCCCTCATTATTGGTTCATGGAATTACCCCATTCAAGTGACTCTACTTCCACTTGTTGGTGCTATTGCGGCAGGTAATTGTGCAGTCATCAAGCCCTCTGAGGTTGCGTCGGCAACAGCTGATCTTATCAAGACACTCCTACCCAAGTATCTGGACGAGGTAAGCATTGATTGATTGGCAGGTTGGTTGGTTGGCTGACTGGTTGCTCGATTGGTTAGTTTTGTAATTGGTTTGTCGGTTGCTTGGTCGGTTAGTGGGGTTGGTTGGTTGGTTGGTTGGTTGGTCAGTTGTTTACTTGGTCGTTTGGCTGGTTGGTTGGTTGTGTGGTTGGTTGTGTGGTTGGTTGTGTGGTTAGTTGGTAAGTTATTTGGCTGGTTGGTTAGTTGGTTGGTCTTTTGGCTGGTTGGTTGGATGGTTGCGGGTTAGTTGGTTTGTTGGTTGGTCGTTCGTTTGGCTGGTTGGTTGGTTGTGTGGCTGTTTGGTTGGTTGTTTGGCTAATTGGTTGGTTGGTTGGACGTTGGTTGGTTAGTTGTTTGGTTGGTTGGTCGTT